GATAAAAATGAAAATTTCCTGTATTTTACTATCATTAATCTGCGTAAAGGTTTTGGCAGATATAAGTATAAGTATATATTTTCCTACTTCCACATAACGTAGTTAAAAATCTAAAATAAAGTAATATTTAACTTTTTTTACAGCAGAATATATCAAGACCGTTGAAAATACAAGTAAGTAATATTTTTGAAAATCATACAGACTAACAAGTTTGTTTTTCTGTATTGCCGAAATATGGACAAACATAATGTGTTTGAAATTTAAATGACTATTTATGATGAAACATTTTTTTTTAATTGTATCTTTAAAATACACCTCAAGTTTAAGCTATTTTTCATCTTGTACTTTTACTAATTTAAAATATAAATTTTCTAATAACGTTTCATCCAAATCATTATTCTTTTTTGATTATATCATAAAAATGTTTGCTATAAAAGCCACATGGACTGAGAGTAACAAGCATTTTGCTTTGTCATGTTTTGCAATGGGAAATTTAGTGTAAAACGTAGTCTTAAAAGATAACTATAAAAAAAACAACAACACATCTAAAACAATTTTAAAACCAAAACTCGACCACTCCGAAAGACCCGATCCTTATATACACAATACATCTTACAAATGAAATGTTTGCAATTTGCAAGGCTCTATTAAAGGTTTTCACATAGGTATTACATATCATATTTTAACAGCTTGCCAACTTGCCGCAACACCACGGGACACATTTTTAATTCTCGTTCCGCGTACGCCTTGATATCACTTGAAATTGTTTTCGTTTCTAACCCAAAATAAACATGATAGCCACGGTACTCGAAAGGTAGCTGATGATTATTTTATGTTGTGGCCAAACGTTTTTTAGTCGTTTTTTAGTAATTGGCCTTAATCGATTTATTGGCAAAACATTCACTTGGTTATTTTGAATCAATTTAACCATTCATTCAAGCTTGTTCGTTGTGAAAACAATACATAGTTAAAAAAAATTAACATCCCCGCCACCATTCCCAGCTCCATCCCCATTCCCATCCCTATCCCCACCCTCATAAGAAGGATATATAAGGTTATAGAAGGATATATCTGTAACAACTGTGAATAAGTGTGCAAGTCGATTTCAGTGATTTTAAAAGGGAGCGATTTTAAACTTTAATCAGCTGCCATAAATTGCTACTTAACCAATAACTCACATCTCTCTCAAGGTTTATTTGATGGTCCAACGAATTAGACATTTATTCAAGGTGTGTTAATGCCTCGGACTACATCCTAATGTACATAGTAAATTTTGACCAACATTCAACTTACACATTTATTCACAGTCGTTACAGATATATAAAGATACATTTTCGATGTCGGTGTCGATTTTTCCGGTTAGTTGTGTTCCAAAGTAAAAATAAATACTATACATTACAATACGGGACAGTCAATAATAAGAAATCGCGACAAAAGTATGCCCCCTTAAATCATAGTGGTTGCCTATACATCTTAGACCGAGCGCTAACAAAATAGTAAATATTATGATAACACATTTTGATAATTATCAAATACAATTATACAAATTACAAACATATTACTAAATATTATGTCGATGATCAAATAATATACATTACACGTTATAAGTTATATTAGTTTCTATGATTTTGTATAATTATTTTATATTGTGTTTCAGAAATACATTTGTAAATTATTAACTGTATATACATTTTATTATAAACTCATTATTTTTTTTAACTTTTTGTTTTTTACAGTCTTAAGTCGTAGATGATTATTCCATTTTTTTATTAATGAATTTATAGTGACATTTAATTTCTTATCTATAAATAAGAATTTACAATTTATACAAATTTTAGGAATTATAAGTATGTAACGATTAAGTAACTCAATAATTTTAGTTTTAATGTTACACTTATTTTCTAATAATAAATTCTACCTTTAGAGTCTTTTGTAAAAAAAAAATTTTAAAACCAAAACTTTCTCATCTCGACTACTACGGAAGACCCGAGCCTTATATAAATTGCATTTAAATTTATTAATTTTCCTAGATAAAAATGGAAATTTCCTATGTTTTAATATCATTAATCTGCGTAAATGTTTTGGCAGATATAAGTATAAGTAAGTATCTTATTTATACTTAAGCACACAATGTAGATGAAAATCTAAAAAAAATTAATATTTAACTATTCTTTACAGTGAACTATATAGAGATGGTTGAAATTTCAAGTGAGTTAAATTAATAAATAATAATAAAGGCCTATAATCCTCTTAAAACGTAAATGTAAACAAACTACAAAAATATTAGATTATTACATATCTTAGGTTTTTCAAACACATTTTTAAACAATTTCGAAGTGTACTGAATATAATTAGGTTCATCAAGGAATAATAGGTCACCAAAAATGTTGTGGAAGACAGAATTAATACAGATAACAAATTTGATTATTATTAAATTCATTGTGAAGAAAGTATTATTTCAAACGTTACTACTTGCAAGAGATTAATTTAATGATAATAAAACATTTTGCATTGACTTATGGATAAATACATCTAACTGAGTTTGAATAACTAAATTATTTTTACAGGTATTCCGGCGGCTGATGATGAAAACCAAAGTAATTACAAAGTTATTCATTAGTAGTAAAAAGAACTTATGATTTCTTTGAACGATCAAATTTTCTTTATACATTAATTTGTGTTTTCTAAAAAACTTAGTATATTAGGTAAATATAAAAATACAAATTGAAAGATAATAATTATTACAGGATAATTCTATATGGATAACACAATCAATTTTTTTTTAGAGAAATTAAAATTTTTTTGTTTTATTAATTGAAACTGTTATGAATAAATACAACAAACCGGGTTTGATTAACTATATACCTGATTTGCTTTTTTGTTATAGATTGTACACCGCAAGATTATGAAAACAATAATATTTACAAAGATATTCGTTAGTAGTATAAAAGACGTATTACTTGCTTGATTGATAAAATTGTCTTTATATATTTTTTGTTTACACAATATTGACCATAAAGTAAATTTTTAAAACACTTAAATTTGGTAGCTAACTAAAAAGAATAGACAAAATAATAAATATAAAAAGATAGATAATTATAAAATTTAGAGTGATGAAGGTATTCATTTAAACGTTGTTAGAGAGTTATTTTATATTATTAATAAGTTTAGCTTCGATTAGTTCGTCTAACTTAGTTTTTTTTTAGAGTGACTGTTGTGGATAAATTCATCAAACCGGGTTTAATTACCTAATAAACTTTTTTTTTCTTAATTTACAGGTATTCCGGCGGCTGATGATGATAACCAAGGTATTTACAAAGTTATTAATTAGTAGTAAAAAGAACTTATGAATTGATTGAACGATCAAATTTTCTTTATACATTATTTTTTTTACACATTATTGACAATTATGTATATTTTAAAAACACATAATTTACTGTTTGGTCAAAGTTATCTCATTTTAATTGAAACTGTTATGGATAAATACAGCAAACCGAGTTCGAATAACTTTATTATTTTTAAAATTATTTTTACAGGTACTCCTATGCCTGCTGATACAACCAAAAGTAATTACAAAGTTAATTACAAACAATTTAGTAAAGTTTAGTTGGGGAGACTTACTGTTATAATAATTTTAACAACTATTATATTTAGAGTAATTTTTGGAACAGCGTTTATCAATTTTTAACATTTTACCACAAAATACCATTTTAACGTAATAGATTGTTGACGTTTTATGTTAACAAATACTTATGACTCGACAGACAAAATACGATACTAGTTCTTGTTGTTTGATATACTATCAAGAGCTGGTTGAATCATAGCACTCATAGCACTAATAACGCTTCATTTATCATTGTACTCTACGCTAATAATTGACATTGGAAACCCCTCACATCTTACCTTTCCGATAGGAAACAATGCACTATCTCCTCAAGCGTCTATCAATGGGATCACATTAGTCCTCTTTATTTCGTTGGCTCATTAGAGAGACTTTTGCAAACACAAGAAGTTCTTTTTTTTTGTAGACGACATGTTATATATTTTCATAAGTATTGCTTTTTCTGCGGTTTATTGAAACCTACAAGCTGAAGTTATTTGATTTCTTGACTGTGCTCATCTCCTTGTTTATTATGGAATTTTTCAGGAGCTATAATTCTCTTCTACATGGTTTATGTACTTCGTAGTATTCCACTGAAACGAGTTTTTTCTATTAAAGATCTTGGCCTCCGCTATATTTTGTGTATAAATGGGGTAGCTATCAGGACCTTAAGAGCCATCGGCTTAATGCTAATACTATACTTTAAATTAATTGATTGGTCAAATTAATCTGATTTTTAGAGTGACTGTTATGGATAAATAAAACAAACGGATTAGATTATCTGTATAATTATTTTATACTTTTGTTACAGTTTTTCTTAATGACAAAGTCGTTCGTTAGTTATAAAATATAGAAGTTATGACTTGATTGAATGATATAGTTTTCTTTATATTAATTTTTGTTCATCGTTTAAGATATTATTGTTTGACTGACTATCGCACTTCTATATTGTACTTTGTATGAGATACTTTTGTACATTTGTGAAAAAAATGCGTATTAGTAATTTAAATGTCAAAATAAAACATAAATATTATTAAATATTGTATTATAAACCAGTTTATATATAAATTTATGCAGGTAATGGAATTTCGAAAAGGACCACATTTAATAAGGCGAGAATATGTCTTAAAAAAAAACTTGGACAATTTATTACTTTTTACATAATCAATTTATTTTGTACTATATTGAAAACTTGTGGGTTTTTTTTAGAGATAATTAAATTTTTTGTGTAACAGTATTACACATATATTTTAATTTATTTCTTGAGCGTAGGGGGGAAAGGGACTTTATCGACTTAAAATCAACACTATATTTGGCATTGATTAATTGAAACTGAGATGTATAAATACAACAGACCGGGTTTAGTTAACTAAAAAATGTTTTAATATTTGTTTTACAGGTACTCCTGCGCATGCTGATGAAAACAATAGCATTTACAAAGATGGTAGTAAATATATAATATTGCTTGTTTGAAATATACAATTTGCTTATCAAATCCGTTTGTTCACACAATAATAACTAAAAACTTTATTTTTAGTTGTCGAGCCTTAATAACATTTCACCACTATTATATTTAGGGTATTATTTTGAACGGCGTGTATCAATTTTTAAGAATACACTTATGCTCAAGAAGCGGTTTCTGATCCTTGTATTACGACATAAACATTTTTAGCTTCGATGCAAAGCGAGAAGGTATTGGTTTTACTCTGATGTATGTTTTTTTTTTATCTGTATACACTGTAACTTCTTTAATACTGGACCAATTCCTTCGAATAGCAACTCTATGAATCGCAATTTTCATCTAGTTGGTACTTTGGGGGGGTAAAAGTTGAAAAAGTTTAACTCTTCACAGGCGAAAGTTGAAAAAACAAAAAAAAAACCGTACGAGTTTTTAAGTTAGAACTTTTACTGGCTATAGCTTCGAGAAAAAGAGTCGGATCGAGTTGAAATTTATAAGAAATATTTATTTAGTATGCCCGCGCACGTCAGTTATATCAAATTTGAATTTAACCCAATGCCCACCCCCCTAGGGGGGGTACAGGTTTTTTTGTTTTTCGGGGTTTTTAGCCGTAGTTTTAAGACCTTTGGGTTGAAAATTTGCCAGTAGTTGGAACTCATATGTATCCATAACATATTAAACGGAAAAATAATTCGGCACTACAGTTTTTTTTTAATAGCCGGAAAACTGTGTTTTCGCAGATTGCGTATATTTTAACAAAAAACACTTAAAATCTTAAAAAAATTGTTATCAAATCATTAAAACAATTTTATGTAGATCTATGCAGAATGATACTATTGAGTTTTGTGCTCAAGTAACACTTTTGACTTTAAGTTGACACAAAGTTCAATTTTTTTTTTTTTTTTACTTAAGTTCTTTCTGGCTGATTAAAATTGAGAACTGATAACAAATTCGTAATCACCGACCCCAAAAACATATAATTTGACCCCTTTTAATGCCTTTTTCACAAAAATCCAGAAAAATGTTTTAGCTTCGATGCAAAGCGAGAAGGTATTGGTTTTACTCTGATGTATGTTTTTTTTTTATCTGTATACACTGTAACTTCTTTAATACTGGACCAATTCCTTCGAATAGCAACTCTATGAATCGCAATTTTCATCTAGTTGGTACTTTGGGGGGGTAAAAGTTGAAAAAGTTTAACTCTTCACAGGCGAAAGTTGAAAAAACAAAAAAAAAACCGTACGAGTTTTTAAGTTAGAACTTTTACTGGCTATAGCTTCGAGAAAAAGAGTCGGATCGAGTTGAAATTTATAAGAAATATTTATTTAGTATGCCCGCGCACGTCAGTTATATCAAATTTGAATTTAACCCAATGCCCACCCCCCTAGGGGGGGTACAGGTTTTTTTGTTTTTCGGGGTTTTTAGCCGTAGTTTTAAGACCTTTGGGTTGAAAATTTGCCAGTAGTTGGAACTCATATGTATCCATAACATATTAAACGGAAAAATAATTCGGCACTACAGTTTTTTTTTAATAGCCGGAAAACTGTGTTTTCGCAGATTGCGTATATTTTAACAAAAAACACTTAAAATCTTAAAAAAATTGTTATCAAATCATTAAAACAATTTTATGTAGATCTATGCAGAATGATACTATTGAGTTTTGTGCTCAAGTAACACTTTTGACTTTAAGTTGACACAAAGTTCAATTTTTTTTTTTTTTTACTTAAGTTCTTTCTGGCTGATTAAAATTGAGAACTGATAACAAATTCGTAATCACCGACCCCAAAAACATATAATAAACGCATATAAAGGCATATAAATAAACGCAAAATATAAGTACAAACGCACTCTACCAGATGTGAGAAACGAAAAAAAAAAGTATAATTTTTTGTTCTATTGGCATCATCGTGTGTACGAACGGCATATTGATGCGCGCTCTTATCTGCTCCGTAATGAATTATGAAATCAGTTATGATAGAAAATATTGTATGTCGTTTCAAATAGTATTTTTAAATCTCTACAAAAACGCTAGTTTTTATTCTGGTTGTAACTTGTATTGCGCTGTATAAAACTTTTATGACGTAGTTGATGTTTATTTTATCAATTTTCATTATTTAATAAAAAACAATTTGTCAACAGAATATAACTAACTGGGTGTGGATTTTATTAAGTCACAGTTGATATAAAATCGATTTGGACTTGAACTTTTTGCGGAATGACTGAATTTAATTTAAGTAACTAATTTAATTTTAATTGGCAGCCATTACGTGAGAAATGATAACATGAGTTGTTTATACTATAGTGTATAGTTGTTGTAATTATCAATTTTCGAGACAAAATAATATTCGATCGTGACCATATAAACGCCCGATCGCGTTATCAACTGTCCACCGTCTTATGTACACGGTACAGGTGGGAACGAAAAACCCCTTATCGGCCCGAGCCGGTCATGGAGTGTGAGAGAGAGGTCGGGGGGTGATGACATTTGTAGGTAGTTGCCAGTCAGTATTCGATAATTCGATTATCAGTTATTGATTTAAAATTGATCCGGAGTGTCAATCCGCTGTCGTTCCGAGTATTATTATTTTTATTTACATATTGTAAAAAAAAAGTGAACTCTTCCTTTCATTTTCCTGGTATTCTTCTTTTAAAAATCGGGTTTCCTCTGACCTAATCTCACAAGTGCACATTCAAGTGCATAAAACAATTATTATTAGTAAAAATTGCTTACTTATACATTTTCAGTACATCTTTTCTTGAAATTATTGAAATTTAATATCTGTCCAGGTCGGCGTTCCTCAGATAGCCAACAAAAAAATTGCTCTCACCTCTCCCTTTTGTAACTAAAAAGTATAAATAATAATTTATAACCAATAATGATTATCTTGACTTGCCCAGAAAAATCACTATTTCATTTTCCTTCTTCCACCTTGGTCACAATAAATATTATCTTCTTTTCTACTTTTATTTCTATTAAACCTATTTCAAACTTCTCACGAAAAAAACCTGAATATTCATAAATTTGTTGTAAATTAATTAAAAAAAAAAAAAATATTAATGTAATATTTCAAATTTGTGACTTGTGTCGTTTTTTAAATGACTGATAAAATTACAAAATAGAAGCATCAAAGCGTTAATTTGAAAGTGATTTTATCCGAGAGGACTAGTATAGTAGAGTATTGGCATATGTAATCAAAGCAATGAGGAAACGGAGAGGTCACAGGTCTACAAGAATTATTATAAATCAAAGTGATAACATTGAATAAAATCGCTTTCAAATAAACGCTTTGATGCTTCTATTTTGTAATTTTATCAGTCATTTAAAAAACGACACAAGTCACAAATTTGAAATATTACACTAGCCACAAGAAACTTCATAAATATATTTTGCAGTGATTCAAATTTCTTGTACTCAACATTTGTATTAAATATGAGTCTGACAAATTGAGTTTTCACACAGAATACGTAGCTAAGTATATAATTATTACATTTGATAAAAAGACAGTTTTGAAAAATCGGTGACCTAAGTCGTTTTTGAATTGGCCGATTCAATTTATTACTTTCTAACTTTCCTAGCTTACACTGTGCTTGGTTTAGATTGTACTGCCTTGAAAATACTAACTACCGATTTGCATCGAAGCGTTTTTTCGAAAGTGATTTTATCACTTTCAGATTTAAAAATTCCTATAAACCTGTGACCTCCCCGTCCCCACTATGCTCCGTCCCCACTATGCCCCGACCCCACTGTACTGGTTTTTTTTTGTACTACTATAGTTAAGTAGTTTCGAGGAAGAGCTTTCGTTGATGTGGAAAAAAACCTTGTGGAAACGACTAAACTGTTTTTTTTAGTATTACCTTATCAGTGGATGGTTGCCTACTACATATTAAACTTAGGTTTTTTCTGTATTTGGCTCATCTCCATGGTCTGGCACTGTATGTTGAAAAATGTCATATTTTGTCATTTTCCTGGAACCGTATTCCGCTGCTGCACGATTTCTTTTTTCATGGTCTTCAACTCCATCGAGTTTTTTCTATTAATGATCTTAACACCCTATGTACGCCTTCTCTACATTTTAGAGGTCACTTAAACGCGGTAGCTAAAAATGATTTAAAAGTCATAGGTTTTGTGTTAATATTATATTTTGCATTCATTAATTGGTCAAATGATTCTCATTTTTGAGTTACTACTATGGATACATACAACATCACGGTTTGACTAACTATATAATTTATTTGTTACAGGAAATTATGTTACAGGTATTACTGTGCATGATGATGAATACAATAGAATTTACAAAGCTACTAGTTAGTAGTAATGAGAACTTATTGCTTATTTGAAAGATAAAATGTACTTTATATTTTATTGTATTGTTCGCATAACAATTTACTTTAAGTTGGGGAGACTTCATTTATTGGTTCTAGAATGAAATAGTAAATTGGCAACCTTACCAATTATAGAACCAGATAAAAATTGAACGAATACATAATACATTTTGAGCATACGCGCCTTTTTACTAAAATCTGATCTCTATTTTATTTGTTCACCCCTTCTAGGCTCCATCAATTTTAGGCATCATCCTGATATTATAATTTTCAAATTTTTGTAAGTTCCTTCCCTCTGTTTGTACTTATTAGGACATAAAATATTAAAAATAAAACATATAATTACGAATATATTATTCTTTTGAACCAGTTATTAATATAAACATTTATGTAGGTACCGAAACTAATAACTACCATAATTTTTCGCGTTCCTTTTTACTCTGTTTTTACTTACTAGGGTGTTAAATTTAAAAATATCAAAATACATACGAATATATATATAAATACTATATTTTCAAACCAGCTATTTATACACTTATGCAGGTACTGAAACTTTAAAATTGACAGAACTTGGAAAGGCGAGAAGAGGTCTTACTGAAGATGCTATTATAAATGTGCTTACCAAAAAATTAGGTGATTATAAATAAAAAGATTTAATATTATTTATTTTTTTAATAACATTGATATTTACAGCATGATTCATTTTCAATAACACAGTATTTTATAGACTACTTAACACAACTTAAACAAAATTTAATTTTTTGTTTCTTTATAATTTCTACAAATATACTCAATATTTATTATAAAATTTAAAATTTCAGCTCTTTTTTTCTAATCGTGTTTATAGTGACCCCTGTTTAAAATGTTCACATGTAAAACTTTTCAGCTTTCTAAAAAAAATATTTAAATAATTTAAAAATTTTGGACAACACAAAAAATTTACCTTTATAAATTACCAACTCATTTTTAATAACTATTCATACAAAAAAAAGAATACTTTTTTTTAATACTGAGATTTTTCACATTTATACATGTTTTATATAATTGTATTACTTATTTCATTTACGTTTAATAATTGTGTCAAATTAATCTACATCAATTGCACAAATAAGAAAAACAGTGGCTAATAATTGTTAATTTTGGCAATTTTTAACAACTGTATTCTGTTTTTTTAGCTTATATCACCTCGGTTGACAAGAAGTATCCTGATTACACATTAAATGTACAATTTTTCAGCTTTCTAAAGAAAATTCTTAAATTTTGGGCAACAAAAAAAAAACATATTTATAAATTATAAACCCATTTTTATTGACTGTAAAAACTTATAATTTTTTCAGAAAGCTGAGATTTTTACTATTATACATAGTAAATATATTTGTATAACTTGTTTTATTTACGTTTAGTAATTGTGTCTTACACTGAAAAGAATATAGTGGCTTATAGGTTTAATTTGGTTATTTTTAACAACTGTTTTTTGATTTTTTAGCTAAAATCAACAAGGAGAAACTAGACAAGGAGAAATCTGCTAATAGGATTTGTACTTTGATAGCAATGTGGGTTAGTCTTAAAATTTCTTCAAACACGTATTATTATTTAGAACACAATGATGATGTATGTGTAGTAGTACTAAAAGAGGGTAAAGACGAACTTGTTGTAAAATACAGATCGTTTAAAGGCGAATATTGGCAAGTAAATGCCTTTGACATACAAGTAGCCAAAATTACTAGAAATCAAACGTTTATTTCTTTTAAAATTATATTTAAATAAATAATTAATGTTTGCTTATTGCAATAATTAAAAATATATTATTAAATTTGCATTTATTACTTATTATAAATACGAACATGATACTACTACTTTTTCATAAACATCTTGAAATAATAAACAAAAAATTACAAATAAAATCTTTACTGATTTATGATATATGAAATTCCTGAAACATTGATTTTAAATTAGTAGGATCTGATTATTATATTTTGTGCTGTAGCCACTAATTACAGTAGGCATAGTGGGGATGGAGAGGTCACAGGTTTACAGGAATTATTATATTTGAGAGGGCTAAAATCACTTTCGAATAAACGCTTCGATGCGAATCAGTAATTAGTATTTTCAAGCCAGTAAAGTCCAAACAAAGTACATTGTTAACCAGCAAAGTTAGAAAGTATTAAAATGAGGTGCTGTATTTGCAAATAAGCATCAAAGCATTTTGTTGACTTGTGACCTCTCTGTGCTATCTATGGTTTGATTTTTATTATGCCTATACACCACAGTACTAGTCCTCCAGGATAAAATCACTTTAAAATTAATGAATCGATGCTTATAAAACGTTTATAAAAAAAATGTATTGAAAGTAAAGGATTTGTACCTCATAAAGCCCGTGTCTAATATGCCCCACCGCCTCTACGACGGATTTTGTTTTTGTGAATTCAATAACTGGTTAGTATACATCAAATCCATAGGTAATTAGTACTACAAGACTTCAAACGTTGTTGGTATGCTTTCAAACAGTGATAGATGAATTTTAAATATGTTTGTCTAAGAATAATGAATACAACTATATTTTATATTTGGTATAATAATTATATGAATCCATGTTTCATTATATTTTAAATACCATTTTTAAGAAAATAAATCCTGTGGGGGAGTGTAGAATTATTGAAATTTTGATTTGAGGATATTGGTGTATGGGGATATGCCTGCTAAACATTCTATTACAGTTTTGACTTAATTCGACAGTTTTTTATTAAGTTATAGAAAGTTAAAGTTGAAAGTTGCAAAACCGCCAATTCTTTTTGTAGTTTATTTCGGTTCTGGGGTTCAAGAAGTTGACTTTTTTTATTTTTGAACCACCAAAAGTACAAAATCACATATAATTTTGTAGATAAAAAAAAACACACATCATAGGAATACCAGCTCGGTATCGATGCTAAAAAACAGCTTTGTAAATAAACTAACAACGTTGCTATAACGCTGAATGTATCCTTGGGCAAAATATCACCTAAAAATTATCCACAGAAAATTGAAACTCAGAAAAATGAACCTCACAAATCGGGCCATAGTAAAACATGTAATCGTTTTTGTAGATACAAAAAAAACAAACATTATGGGAATACAAGCTCGGCGTCGATGCTAAAAAACAACTTTGTAAATAAACGTAAAACGTTGCTATAACGCTGAATGTATCCCCGGGCAAAATACACCTAAAAATAATTCACAAAAAATTGAACTTTCAGAAAAATTTTAGAAAACATTATTCTCAATTTGAAAAGTTAATGAAATATATGCGTTAAATTTTAAAAGTTGTTGTCAGAAAAACGTGAGCTGGAAGGGGGTTAAAACAAAAAAAAAAAGTAAGGAAAAATTGAGACCCCATTGCATAAAAACACTACGTAAAGAATAAATATCATTTCTTATTTAACTCATTAAGATATTGAGTGGTTTAAGATAAGTTAATCACCCCTGTATTATCACATAACATAACAATATAAATAATGTTATTTCACCCTTTTAGTCATACAAATGCATGCAGAACACTTATAACTTATATTATTTATATAATATGCATTCAACTTGCGTTATAAAGTTTATTTCAACCTTATGTTATTACAAATTGCTAACGATTTGTTGTTCTACATTATAATTTACAATTCCTACTATTTCTATAATTTTATTTTCTATCTTTAGGTTTTTTTTCATTAATTGGATCAGGATAAAAGTAGAAATTACAATCTAATTCGAAATGTATATTATAATACAACTATTCGAATACTCAAATCTTTACAAATAATATATATATTTATGATTATAGAATCATTATGATGCTGTCGATCTATTGTTAAAGAAATAAAATAGGTCAAACATTCAAATACAAAAACAACTGCAAAACAAAATATGTTATGAAAAACACCTCGTTTTCGATAAATAAAAAATAATAAAACCATACAAATCGTGTTTGTAAAATACGAAGATTCTTATTATATTCAAAGTTTTGTTATACCTATAGGAACCTACCATTTGTTTACACTACAACAGTTGCTGTGAAAAACAGCTTGGTTTTGAAAAAAAAAAAAACAACAATACAATATTAGATAACAATTCACACGATAAATGATTATACAAAATCTCCTTATAATATTATGTTATTATTATGAAACATTTCCGAATTAGGAAATCGCAGTACATTAACTGTTGTAAATTAAAAAAAAATACTTACTCGCCACAGTTTTTATAACAATAACATTCTACAATGCACTCAAACACGAACATCAAAAATAAATTTGTTACAAAAAAAAACGGTCCTTTTTTTATTTGTTTACACTGCCTCAATCAAAGAAGATAACAATTTACATTAAATTAAAAAACCTAAATAAAACTATACACATTTGTTTGTAAAAATTGACAAATTATGTCTTATTATTTTAAAACATAAAAGATTATAACACAAACCAAGACAACAAATGATATAATAAATGTATATCTAGACTTTGTACGGGAATGAAAAAGACGTTTTAAGTGAAATTTAAAATTTACAATACAAATAAAGTGAAAAACAAAATATTAAAAATATTTAGTTTTATCATTTATATACCTAAATGTTTATACCATTTATATTCTCGCATTTTTGAACCTTGATACCTTACATACCGTAATGTTGCCCTGATAATTTTTTTAATTTAAATTGTATAGGTACTTATTATAACTAACGAACATAATACTACCACTTTTTTTAAATCATCTTGAAATAATTAACAAAAAATTACAAATAAAATCTGAACTGATTTAGGAAATATGTATTTTCTCAAACAGTGATTTAAAGTTAGTAGGATCCGGTTATAATATTCTGTGCTGTAGTCACTAATCACAGTAATGTTGTCTATAAGAACCAGTTAAAATGAATTGTAATTTATATGTTGTCTATTTTTGGATATAACTATGAATTTTGAATATGTTTGTCTAAGAATAATGAACAAAATTATATTTTATATTTAGTATATTTGTGGTGGATATTGGTGTATAGGGATATGCCTGCTAAACATTCTATTACAGTTTTGACTCAATTCGATAGTTTTTCGCTATGTTATAGAAAGTTAAATATTGACCGACAATTTATTTTTAGGTTTTTGTGGTTCTGGGGGTGAAGAAGTTGGCTTTTTCCCTTTTTGAGTTACCAATCACATATAATTTTGGATACCTAAAGTAAATCGGGCCATAGTAAAACATGTAATCGTTTTTGTAGATACAAAAAAAACAAACATTATGGGAATACTAGCTCGGCGTCGATGCTAAAAAACAGCTTTGTAAATAAACGTACAACGTTGCTATAACGCTGAATGTATCCCCGGGAAAAATATACCTAAAAATAATCCACAAAAAATTGAACTTCAGAAAAATTTTAGTACATTATTCTCATTTTGAAAAGTTTATGAAATATATGCGTTAAATTTTAAAAGTTGTTATCAGAAAAACGTGAGCTGGAAGGGGGTTAAAACAAAAAAAAAAGTAAGGAAAAATTGAGACCCCATTGCATAAAAACACTACGTAAAGAATAAATATAATTTCTTTCAATATAAACAATGTTATTTCACCCTTTTAGTCATACAAATGCATGCAGAACACTTATTACTTGTATTATTAATATAATATGCGTTCAATTTGCGTTATAAAGTTTATTTCAACCTTATGTTATTACAAATTGCTATAACATTATAATTTACAATTCCTACTATTTCTATAATTTTATTTTCTATTTTTAAATTATTTTCCTTAAATTGGATCAGGATAAAAGTAGAAATTACAATCTAATTCGAAGTGTATATTATTATACAACTATTCGATTACTCAAATCTTTAAAAATACCATTTTTAAGAAAATAAGTCCTGTGGGGGAGTGTAGAATAATTGAAATTTTGATTTCAGGATATTGGTGTATAGGGATGTGCCTGCTAAACATTCTATTACAGTTTTGACTTAATTCGACAGTTTTTTATTAAGTTATAGAAAGTTAAAATTTAAAGTTGCAAAACCGCCAATTCGTTTTGTAGGTTATTACGGTTCTGGGATTCAAGAAGTTGACTTTTTTTTTACTTTTGAACCACCAAAAGTACAAAATCACATATAATTTTGTAGATAAAAAAAAACACACATCATAGGAATACCAGCTCGGTATCGATGCTAAAAAACAGCTTTGTAAATAAACTAACAACGTTGCTATAACGCTGAATGTATCCTTGGGCAAAATATCACCTAAAAATTATCCACAGAAAATTGAAACTCAGAAAAATGAACCCCATAAATAACGTCCCCGAGCTCCTAAAATGATTACTATGGTATTACTGACAAAGTGATGAACTCACAGATATTGAAAATATTGTCATCATATTGTTAATTACCATACATGGGTATCTATGGTAATACATTTTCATAGACAGACGATTAACCCTAAACGAATCCAACCTAATATTAAAAAATAATTTTCAATCAAATAATAATTGTCATTAGTTACAAAGATTTTATCGATACTATTATATGTATCTGTAAACATTGGACCTTATTTCTCTCTATTTTTGCCTTACTTTATCAAATGATGATATTCTTAACCTTTCTTACACATCAGCCCGAAATTAATTTTTTAATAAAAATTATATACAGGGTGATCCAACTAACGTAAGACACTCATTTTCTCTGAAAGTATGAATATTTTGCGAATTTTTTTTTTCCTAAAATTTTAGGTACATATTTAGCTACATTTTTCAATATTTAGAAAAATTTTATCTTCAACCCTTATACGTTAAATAAGTACGAACCTCGTTTTTTCAAATGGGAACATATGTTTTAAATTCCATAAATATAAAGACAAAAAATCTAAAAAAATGTTAGCGTTTGAATTTTTAATTTTCATCCATTTGTTCGCTGTTTATGACTTTGTAAAGATTTGAATTTTTGTCTATATTTCTTAATAATTTCATTCGATTCGACAAAGACAAGTAGTTTTATTACGACGGTCATCACATCAAATATAATAATAATTTGATGTTAACGCATTCCGTATCATAATCAGATATAATAAATAACCATACATTATTAGACGAAAGGTAGACTGTTACGGATAACGGACTTTACACTTTAACCTAATCTAGCTGGAGCTAGTCATTAGCTGGTTATCTCGGATAACAATCTAGTATCTAAACTATGCATCAGTTACCACGGAATAATCGAGTGACCAGTACCCATAATATATATTTTATTATTTGTACAAAATCGCATTATATTTATTATTTGTACATAACCTCATCGCTAACAAATTTCGACTTCGAAGTTCACACGTTTTCCATTAGTGAAATGAGAAATTGCAAACGTAATTAAAAAATGTTAGTAAATTTACATTTTACTTTATAGTAAATATGATAGCATGCTTATTGTAGTTATGTCATAACTCGTTATTTTATAATTTTTTAAATATATCAATTGATAATATTTGCTCTCGACTTTATTTTGACGTTACATTCTTGGACACACCATTAATTTAATAGGTAAGTGTATTAAAGTTTAATAGATAATTTAATACAACGTATTCAATTAGCTTTTTTATTTTAGGTTGAATGCTTTTTTCCGAAAATCTTTTATCATTTAAAAATCAATGTTATCATGTCAGAAATATCTATGGCGTTGAGAATAGGCTATACCAATTACTATGGAAATGTCTTTTCAATTGGACCCAAGACTGAAGACCTTACAATTTTATATCAAGGTGTAAATTATAAATATAAAGCATTAATTTAATAGGTAAGTTTATTAGAGTTTAATGGGTAATTTAATTCAATACGATTTCAATTAGCTTTTTTAATTTAGGTTGAAGGCTTTTTTACTGAAAATATTTCATCTTTTAAAAACCAATGTTATCATGTAAAATTGGTTTTGAGTATGACATATCAATTGCTATGGAAATGTCTTTCCAATCGGACCCAAGACCTTACAATTATATATCAAGGTGTAAATTATAAGTATAAAACATTTATTTCTAATGTGACATTTTTTCATGTGAATGTATAATATCAACACTAAGCAATTTGAATGAAAAGTGTGTTGTGTTAACTTAAAATAATTATTAATGCATGTATTTGTGTATGTGGGTTGATAATACTCATATACCCGTTTCATTTATTTTTAAAAATATCAGTAATTAATGTATGAATTTCATACTACTACATACAAGGAATCGCTTCTTGATTATACCAATATTTATAATAATATGTAAGTATATTATTTTTATTTGATTAAACTTATCTAAGGTAGTTCAAATGTCTGCTTTCAGTTTAGTTATTTCTTACAATGATATAACCCATATATTGTGTGTCTGACACACATTACGGATATTTTATCATAAAGTTTTAGCTATAACTGACACAGGTATTTGGCTATCAAAGTTAAATTTTATATCAAATTTATTAATATACAATAATTCTCTCTTTAAAAAAGTAGTAATTCTATTAATTTGTATTTAATGAATTCAGTAAATCAAGTAAATTATTTTTTTGAACTTGCCTAAGATAATTCTTATAGTTAATTTTATTTATTGAATTTTGATTTTGTTAGATTTGTTTAATTACCAACGATTGTTAAAAGAAAAAAATTTAAATCAGTATTATAGAAGTTGAACAATTTCAAATGTATAGATATTGTTTTTGTTTAATATTTTTGATTGAATATTTTCAAAATAGTAACATTTGTAATTTTTTAATTTATTGTTGTATTAATAATTAGTTTATGAATATTTTATTAGTTAAATACTTATATTATCAGACAAAAGATTATTATTGTTCTTTAAATGTTATACTATACTATATATTTGTCGTTGAAATTTATTAACACAATTGTTTGACTATGTGTTATCAATGTTCAAATTTTGTAAACTACACAGTAAAAATTAATAAAAATTGTTTTTAACTCTTTAAAGTAGGAATATTGTCGCATACGCATTACAGCAAATATTCTTTTAACCATTATTTGCATCATTAAAGGTAATCAAATTTTATTTTTAACAACTATGCATTATAAGTTAGTATAATTGATTTTATAATTATTTGTATTCATACATAAATATAGTATACATGTATGTATGTGTATAAAATCAGACAAACTTGTCGCGTACAAATTCCATAAAATTTAAATCCTTAAAAATGTGTTTTATTACAGAATAATTGTTAAATTTAGATACTACAATTTAGCTAAGGCTATTTTTGATTTAATATTGCCACTTTTACATAATCTTAGTAAAACGTACCCGTTATAATAGTTTAATAATGTCAATACTTTAATTTGTATAGTAAACAAGGAAATATCAAATAATGGTTTTCTTTTTAAACAACTAAAATCTATTAAGCTTTTAATTTTCTAGATATTAAATAGTGAAGAAAATAATAAAAATAAGAAAATACTGATTATACATAAAATCAAAATAAGCAGATTCAACTGTAAAAGAATTAACTTTTCAATTTGAAATTTTTGAAACAGACATATTTTATTATAAAGGCTTTAGAATCACTATTATTATAACATTATACACCTTATAAGTTATAATAATAATTAGCAAGTACTAATAAAAAGATAAGAACATATAAACTATTTAATTTAATAGTTATTAATAAAATAAAAAAGACAAGTTCTGATAATTTAATGTTTGCGTGACACAAACCCTAACTTTATTTCTGAAGTTTGAGTATCACGTGTGTGATTTTGTGTAATTGAGTCACAAACTATTGATCCATATTTTTATTAACGGGATCTTAATAAGAAATAACTTGACTTAAAAAAAAATGAAATATCAATGATGTTGAAAAATTTACCGTTACAGAAAAATCAAATCTTTTTTGCCAACAGGATGAGGAAAACAGAAAAAAAGTAAAAGTACTTTGAATCACAGTTTGGAACTACCGACTTAAATTAAGTTGATAATTAATACAATTTCAAACTTAACTGTGATTTTGTTGTAGGTTCCTAATACACTGTTTACAAAAATCTAGTCTTTAGACAACTTAATCATTTAAACACAGTCCACTTTATTGCATTATTTTTTATTAATAAAGTTGTTTATATAATAAAAAAAAGTTAGTTATAAATGTAAAATAAGCAACATTTTAAATATTTACTGTAGAATTAAAATAGTAAGCAAATTAAATCCAAAATTCCTTATTTAGTGTAAATTGTTTAAAACAATTATTTGAGCACAGAACATATTTTGAATAAATTGAACATAACTAAACAAATAATAGTAACGCTTCGCGACGCGTGTCCATTTAATGTATGCACTTATGAGATTGTAAGCCAAATTTTAAAGCTATTGTTTACTACCTATAAAAACTAAAAATTATAATTTTCAAATAGCATAATAATGATCTGTTGTACTGTGCTGTTACTTGCTGAATGTAGAACATAGATAGTAGAAAAATATGATAACTAATGATAATAATATTTTGTATTATCATCATAGCAGCAGTTATCAACCTACTTGTACCACGGTTTTTTATTGTTGTGGTTAAATAGCCATTCGTTAGCTGCTGTCAATATAGGTCTGTCAACCTACCTGTCATTACGGTGTGTTAGAAAAGTCGGTAATCTATAAATATGAAACGCTGGTCAAACAAAATATCACAAAACATTTTATTGTGTTTGGTTATCTGTGTACTCATCTATCGGACAATGCGATCATAAATAAGTATTTTATTGGCTCCCGGTCTTTGGAAAACCAAAGAAATATAACAATATTTAAGAGAAAATGTAATATCTTTACAAAGTCATAGCTAACGACTAGATGGATAAAAATTAATAATTCAAACGATAACATATTTTAAAATTTTTTGCCTACAAATTTATGGAATTAAAAACATATGTTGCCATTTGAAAACGTGAACTTAGACCCTTTTTATTGTATAAGGGATGAAAATAAAAATTTTCGATGCATTGAAAAATGTAGTAAAACATATACCTAAAAGAATAGGAAAAAATGTTTTTTCAAAATATTCATATTTTCCGAGAAAATGAGTGTCTTACGTTAGTTGGATCACCCTGTATAGCTGTTTTAATTTTTGTTGTGGTTGGTTAAACTTAAAATTTACTACCGTCAAAATTAATTTTCAGATTTTTTTCCCCTTAAGGAAAAAATTTTGACTAATGTCAAATAATGTCCAATTCAGGGTAATGATTTCATCGTGAACCACTGAATATTTCATAGGGTTTAATAAGAATGTGATCTCAACTGTTCATATTATTGTTTTTTACCCCTCACACTTAAAGAGTCAGTCTTAGGTTTATACTTTAATTTTAATAAGGGTTAAGCGTTGTATACATAAAAACGATTTGTTTGTTAAACAAGTGTTTTGTGCTATAATTATATATTATATATAACAATTCACACCGTATGCATAGGTACTTGTTGTGTTATTATTCTGAATCACATAAAAACATGTTGTTGCAAACTCAATAGTATCACCATACATTTTTCAGTACTCATATACTTTATATATATACATAAGTTATATTCCGCTTCAGATTAATGTAAACAAAATGAATCCCAGAAATAACGTCACCGAGCTACTAAAATGGTTAATTAAGTATTACTGACAAAGTGATTCACACTGTATGCATTGGTGCTTGTTGGTTTATTATTCTGAGTCACACAAAAACATGTTGATGCAAAGTTACTGTTGATGCAAACTCAGTATTATTCCGCTTTAGATTAATGTAAATATCGAATGTTGCTTGTGTAAATAAATTCGCATAAACAATTTTGAAAAACATTTCTAGATTTTATTTTTTTGGACGACATAATAAAGACCATTCGGCAAGTCGTAAGTAAACCTTTGCAGCAGCCGGTTTGACTATCGTTGCAGTTTTTTAAGTAAGTAATACTACCAAAATGTCAAAAATGGTAAAACTGTAAACTTTTAATATGTTTTAATAAATTTTAATTATTTTTCCGCATTAGACCTTCGATAACATTTAATCAACTATTCCAAGTAATACTATCAGACTTCAAAAGCTGTAAGTACGCTTTCAAACAGAAATAGATGAATTTTAAACACGTTTATCTAATAATAATATACAAAATTATAACTTATTCTTGTTATATTAAACATATGAATCCAAATTTCTTTAAATTTTTTTATTTTAAATCAGTTTTAAAACTAAATACCATTTTTTTAAAAATTAAATCCTGCAGGGAGTGCAGAATTATTTAAATTTGGATTTAAGGATATCTGAGAATAGGGACATGCCTGATAAACGTTCTATTAAAATGTTGTCCTAATTCGATAGTTTTCCGCTATTTTATAGAAAGCTAACGTCAAAAGTTGAAAAACTAATAATTTTTTTTTTAGATTTTTATCGATTCTGTGCGTAATTAAGTAAATTTTTTCTACTATTGAACCAATCACATATAATTTCGAGTATCTTATAAATATCGGGCCATAGAATAACATATTATCGTGATTACAGTTAAAAAAACACACACCATAGGAATACTAGCTCGGCATCGGTGCTAAAAAACTGTTTTGTAAATAAATTAACAACATTGCGCTGCAATATATGTTTTTATTTTACTGCATTGCCGAAATATGTCTAAACAAAATGTACTTAGAAGTTGAATATAGTTGTAATTTTAAATTAAAAAAACTATTTTTTCGTAGTTTTTTGTTGCTTAGTTTATGATAAATTGTTTGAATAGATATAATAATTGTCGTTTAAATACAAACATAATATGTATCTATATTTTAAATTTGTGTCCATGATGCAAAATTTATGATTTTATATTTTTAAAATACATTTCAAAGTTCAAGTTTTATTTTTACCTCATATTTTTAATTTATTAAAAATATAAGTATAAATTTTGAAAAATAATAATATCAGAACAAATTACCTCTGGTTTGCATTTTTTCGAATAAACTTAGACTAAAATTAAATATATAAGCACAAGCCAATGTTCATATTCTGTGGTATCAATTATATAATAACACTAGTTAAAATTAGTATTAAAAAATAAATAATTACCATTATCAAAGTTATTAGAGTATCAAATAAAAGCCGGATCGTTAGATTTTTTTGTACTTTTGACCCAATCACATATAATTTCGAGAATCTAATGAAAATCAGGCCATAGAAAAACATAGTATCGTGTTTGCAGGTACAAAAAAAAACACACCATAGGAATACTAGCTTGGCGTCGGTGCTAAAAAACTGTTTTGTAAATAAACTAACAAAGATGCGCTGCAAAATATGTTTTTATTTTACTGTATTGCCAATATATGGATAAACAAAACGTACTTAGAACGTAGTTGTAATTTTAAAAAATTTACCATTTTTCGTAGTTTCTTGTTGCTTTGTTTATGGTAAAAGTTTTCATCCATAATGCAGATACTCTAAATAAACCTTATACCGGGTAATCCATCTTATGTAGTTATTTATTTAAAACCATATTAAATTATTATAACAATTCTCTATGTGTTGAAAACTATAGTAGAATATACAAGCACCTAAAAATATAGGAAACATTTTTCATCCAAGTCTGCAATCACGAAAGAGCATTTTCATATCTCGTTGAAGTACCAAATATAATTTTATTAAAAATATAAGTACACATTTTAAAAAATAATAATATCAGAACAAATTATCTACTGGTTTGCATTTTTTCGAATAAATGTAGACTAAAAGTAAATATATAAGCACAAGCCAATGTTGATATTCTGTGGTATCAATTATATATTAACACAAGTTAAAATTAGTATAAAAAAAAAAAAATGATTACCATTATCAAAATTGTTAGTGTATCAAATAAAAGACGGATCTTTAGATTTTTTTGTACTTTTGACCCAATCACATATAATTTCGACTATCTAATGAAAATCGGGCCATAGTCACACATGGTATCGTGTTTGCAGATACAAAAAAAAACACACACCATAACAATACTAGCTCGGCATCGATGCTAAAAACAGATTTGTAAATAAACTAACAAGTTTATTTTTCTGTATTGCCGAAATATTGACAAACATAATGTTTTTGAAATTTAAATGAGCATTTATGATGAAACATTTTTTTAAAATTGTATCTTTAAAATACACCTTAAGTTTAAGCTATTTTTCATCTTGTACTTTTATTAATTTAAAATATAAATTTTCTAAGAACGTTTCATCAAATATATTATTCTTTTTCGATTATATCATAAAAATATTTGCTATAAAAGCATGGATTGAGAGTAACAAGCATTTTGCTTAGTCACGTTTTGCAATGGGAAATTTAGTGCAAAACGTATTCTTAAAAGATAACTATAAAAAAAAATCATACATCTAAAACAATTTTAAAACCAAAACGAGAATGTTAATAATTAACCTTAATCGGCAAAACATTCACTTGGTTTTTTTGAATCTTTTTTACTATTTATTAAAGTTTGTTCGTTGTGAAAACAACACATAATTAAAAAAATTTAACATCCCCGCCACCATTGCCAGCCACATCCCCATCACCACCCTCATTTGAAGGATATATAAGGCTATAGAAGGATATATGTGTAACAACTGTGAATAAGTGTGTAAGTAGATTTCAATGATTTTACAGGGGAGCGATTTTAAACTTTGACCAGCTGCCATAAATCGCTACTTAATCAATAACTCACATCTCTCTCAAGGTTTACTTGTTGGTCCAACGAGGTAGACATTTATCCGAGGTGTGCTAAACGTCTCACTTAACCACTACGATTTCGTGGGGCTATGTCGCGATTTCTTATCATTGACTGTCCCGTATTGTAATGTATAGTACTTGGTAAAAACATATCGCTAATATCTTATCTCTTATCTCTCCTATCTAATCGGATTAATCAGCTGATTTTTTCGTTATGATAACCGGAGTCGATTGTAAATGTATCGATTTTTCCGTGTATATGCTAAGACAAAAAAATGTCTATATCCCACTCAAGTAATTGAAATTAACTCAAATAATCCTAAAAGACACGAATTAGATAAATAAAAAAAAACTATTTTTCGTTTAGGTTAAGTTATCTCTAGTCAAAAATCATAAAATATGTATAAAACAAATTTTAAAACCAAAACTTTCTCATCTCGACTACTCCGGAAGACCCGAGCCTTATATAAATTGCATTTATATTTATTAATTTTTCTAGATAAAAATGAAAATTTCCTATGTTTTAATATCACTAATCTGCGTAAATGTTTTGGCAGATATAAGTATAAGTAAGTATTTTATTTATACTTAAGCACACAACGTAGATTAAAATCTAAAAAAAAATAATATTTAACTATTCTTTACAGTGAAATATATAGAGATGGTTGAAATTTCAAGTAAGTTATATTTTATAATCATATAGACTAACTTTGAGAGTTTTTAAATTTCACTAATTTTCCACATACCTATTTTTTTTAAAACATTTACTACAGACATACAAATCAAGAAAGCTTCTGACTATAAAGATGATCATATAAAAAGTAAGATAATAATCAATGTACTAATATATAATTGTATTACAATGATTGCCTAGGTGTCAAATTACTTGTAAATAAAATATAAATTTATTTTTATATTTAAGAGGATGCCGCCCATGCAATTTTTTGTTATAATAAAACGAGTTTGGCTTTCATGATACAGCGCCTCCAAAAATTGTCTTACAAAAAAGTTACCTTTATCACCTGAAAGTTATGAAACTTAACATTGTCTTTAATTTAAGATTTCGTAAAAAATTGCCAGCACAAAACTTCTTAATACGTGGGTGGAGTGGCATCTTCAAAATGTGGTAGTTTTATATTTTTGATTGGATCTGTGCACTGTTGCATGTGGGCACGAGATTTAACTAAAAGTTACTATAATTTACTATGAGCACACTTGACTCTAAAAATTGACTATTTACCCTAACATGGGTAGTTGCCTAATGCATGGTGTAATTTTTTCTTATGATTTTTTTTTTATTAATTTTGATTTTATTTGGAACTTTTCTAAACGTAAAACTTGTATTTGTTTGTTCTAGATGGATTGGAGCATGTACTTACAGTTTTGATAGATAAAAATCACTATGGAACGGGTAATAATAATTATGTGATATTAAAATTCTTGGTTATAGAAGGAATGTACCTACAGAAATGTGTACAGTTAACAACAAAAATATATCTTTGACCCTTTCACTGCCATTGTGCTTTACACACTGCTACATGTCACAACCATCGCCATACTGAAAAAGGTTTCGTAATTAATTGATTAATTGTAGAATAGTAGCACGTCTAGGACAGTGAAAGGGTTAAGGCTAATGTTCAGTGATAATAATCTTATTTCGTCTTATTCTACTCCCCCCATGTGATTCAATACAGCCATTGTTATTTCATAAGGTTTCAAACTTATTTAATATTATAGAGCTAGCCATTTTATTTCGAATTTCTAACACACATATTATTTTTTCTTAGCTTTTCTACTCTAGTTTATGATAGAATACAGTATTAAATTCATTACCAACAATTTTTTTATTGCTATTTTCAGAATATTTTAATCAAATGTTCACTGTACCGGGTAATACTTTTTTAACTTATTTTCGCACAATCGCTTGATTATTAATAAGTATATACATTTTTCCCTTTAATTTCAGAACATGCAGAAACTCACAACTATGACTCTCTAGGACGTAATCAGTTAACACTTTAATATATTACAAAGAATTATATAATGTACAATATTGGTTTTATTTTCAAATTTAGATTCCATAATGACAGAAGAATATAAGTTGCAACGGGAAATTTTTGACATAATAGGTGATTATAAAATTATCAGTTTTTTAATAAACAACTTTCTAAGGCCAATAAGCCCCTTAAAACGTAAATGTAAACAAACTACAAAAATATTAGATTGTTACATATCTTAAGTTTTTCAAACACATCTTTAAACAATTTCGAAGTGTACTAAATATAATAAGGTTAATTGATAATAAACCCATAAGTAATAATGAAGTTATTCAATATTTATTTAATATCAATACTATATTTAGAATTGAC